GATAAACCCAGGCACAAAGTGGGCTCTGATATCATGTCTCAAACTTGGCTCTGATATCATGTGAGAATTTGGGAAAAATATGTTGTGTATTATTCAAAAGACATGTACACATATATATAGGAACATAATGAGCCTAAATCTAATCCTACAAGATATAGACAAAATATATATTATAACCATATATACAATATATTCTAACATACTAATATATGCTATCCATATATACAATATATTCTAACAATAATCTTTGCGTTAGCTACTACTTACTACTAGCTGCATTTCAATTGTTTAGTTTGGTGTTCGTAGTGGGAATTAGAATGAGAAGATTTGTCAATTAATTGGACCAATTAGATACATATTATTAATTGTCATGTTGATTAATTGATTTGCATGAATTATTTTACTTGGGGACAATTTAATTTATCTTATACCGTACTAAATCATCCATTTTATATATGAAATGGGATTTAAAAAAAAAAAAAATCAAAACAACTCCAAAACTATATCACGGTTTTCTATTTAATTTTTAAAATTAGACTCAATATTCATAAACTCGTTTATATAAGGTATATTTAAGTATTTTAGTTATATATGCAATACGAATATTAAATACTTTTTTTTTTAAAAGTATAACTAATATAAAAATCATATGTGAAAATAAATAAATTTTAATATATAATTTAAGTTAGTTAGTGTTTTATAATTAAAAAATACTATTAATGTTAATTTATCAATTCAATAAATTTTAAATTAATTAAACAAGTTGCAACTTAATGAATTTGATGGTTCTCTATTGTAGAAGATGAGTTGTGATTTGTGAACTTAAATGGAAATGTCTCTTATTTTGTAACCACACGACAATGAGTTTTACATATACTTTTCTGTTTTGTAAAATCTTATGAGGAAATTGATAAGGCTTGATCGATACAAAATCCATTGCCATTTTGTATTTTTCTCTAAAGATTTTAAAGAAAGAGGAGAGATAGAGTTTTTGGATAAAAATTCAAAGAATTTGTTTAAGCATTATATTATATATTATTTATAAATTTTATTGAGAAAAATATTGAATAATGAAACCTAAGTATTGTTGACGGTCTCTTTCTTTATCGTTAGTTATTATTTCCAACATCTATAACTTTTTAGAAGGCTCTGCATTTGTCTTTAATG